AAAATGGGTATTCCAATGTAAAGCGCATTGAGCTACTTTTTTGGAAATGCGCTATATAAATGTTATATATTATTATTATTATTATATAATACATGTATTATACATAGATAGGATGCAACAACTGGCACGAGCTATGGGGGGACCTGTGACTTTTCTCTAAGAGATATAGAACAAAAACAGTTTTCAATTATCGCAATTATAAAGGACCAAAAAGCAGCTCTTTAATGGAGCTTTACGTTTCCTACAGTAAACGACGATTGATTAGTTTATATATCAAATTTTCTTTTAAAGACTAGAATCTATCTCAATGTTTTAATGCATTTGCATTTAATCCCCTTTTCCGTAACACATAAAAAAAGAGACTATCAATTTACTCCTCGCCACTGCCAGATAAAAATCGAATACAAATTTATTGCTGTATGAAATAATGACAATCAGAGAAGATGAGTAGATCAGTGTGCTTCAGTGGGGGTGTCGAACTATCATGGCCAACTCTGGAAAGCACAAGACAAAGAAAACAGAACCGTCTGATTCTATTTTAAAAAATTTGATTACAATTTAACGGAGTAAAAGAACTACATTTACTTCAGCGCATTTTTCCCCCTTAGGACGCAAACTATAAAGGGATCAAAGAGGTTATACATATTCTAAGTTTCTAGCACCTGAAACAGACGTTCCCAAAATACATATTATAAGGATAACATATTCGAAATCTCAGTCAACCAATTTTGCTTGACACTTTCTGTATACTTTATTCCAAATAGAAGAGAGAAACAAAGAAGGAATCCAAAAGATCTTCTAGTGAGTCAGTGATAGCATTGCTTGCTTTTTTGTTTAGATATTATATTTGTCATTTGCTGGTGTATTTTGGTGTCTTTCTGGGTAAACGCGAGGGGTGGTGCTTATTTCAAGTTTGCTTATTTTATTTATATTTTGTGGTGGGTTTTTGTTTGTTCAATGGTTGCTTGTCTGTATGTTTATTTATTTGTTCGGACTGTTTGAAATGGAGAGAGAGAGGGAATCTTAGAGAGCAGAAAAACCACACTTGAAAAAAAACAACAACCAGATTTCGTGCAGTGAAAAAGTAAACTTTGTGACCATCACAGTGACCAACTACGTGTCTATTGTCTATGTGTGTCTTACCCGCTTGCACTGGAGCAGAACCTAGGGCAGAGGCAGAAGAAATTAAACAACAGGATTCTATAAAAGGCTGCCAAAAAATCAGTACCCCTAACAAACACATCTTGTTCCGAAGAACACGTACAGTCAAACTGGCTGACTGTGCTGTGCCAGTAGGGAGAACTGTACTGTGAAATGATCTACAAGTGATCCATTGACAGGCCTCGGGATCCCCTCTTCTCTCTTCAACATAATGCATATTTTTCAGTAAGAATTCAGTGCCAATCAAGGACCCTACAACCTCCTTGGTGCCAATACGTATTTATAGAAAAGTTGTTTTCTTTTCGTTTTCATACTTTTGTCAGAAGAAAAAATGTTATTCAGCTATAAACGTATTATTGACACACGAGGTCATGTTGGTCAATGCGCTTCAGTAGTCACGAGACGGGCACGGGAAGAAGCATATCATAATAAAAAACAGAACAGATCCGCAGGTAAAATTATAAACATTCAAAATATAAGCGTCCCACATACATTAAAAAAAGAAATCAAGCTTATAATGCTAAAAGAAAGAGGTACATCCTGTGGTTTATGACGATCCATTGGAAGTATGACAAAACACAAAATCGACATTTAAAAAATTATATATATTAACTCATTAGTAGACAAAAGCATAATATATAGGGGGGGGGGGGGTGGTTAACAACATAATCAGTTAATCACAGACTATGAACAAACTGCAAACATTCTTTTTTGAGTAAAGAGAAGCACATCGACACAATAATGGTCATTAAGTGGGCTGGAAGTACAAAATATCTTATTAGTATAGGCAAATGAAATTCCATAAGAAAGTGATAGGGGTTAAGTCAGCAAAAACTCCATGCAACACGATTAATCATCTTAAAAGCAAAAACACCACAGTGCTCGTGTCGCTGATGACGCAATAACACATTGAGCGGGTTCTGTTGATCGATAACTATAAGATTGGTCAAACATTACGTCATACACGCACGGTGTGTGGGTCAGCAACAACAACAACAACAGGGTTACAAACGTGTAGCAAGACCAATGACTGTGAACTGTAAGACGCGCGGACAAGTCAACTCTCCAAGGACGTAGTGGACAAAGTGAGGCATCGTGGTGAAATCAGGCGCGAGTCAGAGTAGTGAAACCAAAGAAATCTGCATTTTTTTTTATCCGAAGGGCATTTTTTTTTTATTTTCTTTTTTTTTTGGCTCAACACCTTTTACGTCCATTTAAAAACACGTGCTTGAGTGGATTTTACTGGAAAAACATTGATTAACGGCACAACAAATGCCAGTTTTCAGGTTCTAAGGACTCTCGTATCAGGCTAAGGAAGTTTCCAAACTTTGACGGATTTTCTTGCTACTTTTACCTCTGAAACCAGGCGACCTGACCCCCTTCAATCGCAAATATTTCGACATCTATCAAAATAGATGGATATTTTTTCCACCAAAAGGAAAGCATTCAAAATAGATGCATACTTTCTTTCACAAAAAGGAAGGCAAGTGAACAGGCTTTTAGATAATACCAATAACCCCAAAAGCCCCAAAATTGACGAGCAGCCGATTTCACCACGTCGTGACCAATATGTCCCATCAGCAGCATACCAAAAGGCAATGCTGTGGCGCCCTTTTCGAACTACCATATAAAAATTATAAATCAGAAACACAAATGTGTATCATTGTATGCATGTTACATTGTCTGCCTTTAAAAATTCCAGATAAAAAGAACCAACAAATAAAATAAGACAAAAATTTTGAAATACAATGTATTGTTATGAATGACAAAGTTAGACTTTGTTTGCAAAGTGTCCTAAAAACAAGCGGTGTCAATCAACCAGATTGTGCACCCTCAACGAATTAACAGACTCGATGAGTCAGTCTACGGGCTCCCCTTCACAATAGTCGGTTATTATTTCAAAGTATGGTAACCGTTTTAGACCATTTCAAAATTGGAAAAAAGATCATTTGGACAACAGGGAAAACCCCCCAAAATAACACCTATGTAGATAAGTCGGTATCGAGTCCCTAAGGAACATTCTCGAACTTGACTAATTGTTTGGAGAATTCTCAAATCATTCCATCCACGGCCTTCTATTTGAGATAGACAATGTTTATTGAGGAAGTATCAAACCATGGAGAAACAGTGCTTTTTAATCTTGGCTATTACTGCTTTATCACAATTTTACTCTTTAGTTTAAAAAAAGGCTAACAACAGTAAACAATAGTGGGTCGAAATCCTTATTACAGTAAACTAACCTTGGTGAACACAGAACAAAAACGAAAGCAGTATAGATAATGTAGATTACTCGAGCCATTTCCGTATATAATCTAATTAGCGTTTGCTTACAAATGGAAGTATCTATGCTATTGGAACACATTTTTATATTTGGAAATAAGGAGAGAAAGAAAAATAGATAGATAGATAGATAGATAGATAGATCGATAGATAGATAGATAGATAGATAGATAGATAGATAGATAGATAGATAGATAGATAGACAGATAGACAGACAGACAGACAGATAGATAGATAGATAGATAGATAGATAGATAGATAGATAGATAGATAGATAGATAGATAGATAGATAGATAGATAGATAGATAGATAGATAGATAGATAGAGAAAGGGGGGAGAGAGAGAGGGAGAGAGAGAGAGAGAGAGAGAAGGGGGGGGGGAGGAGAGGGGGGGTGTCAGGGCCTTTTTTGACTATGTCCAAAGGTTGTGACCCTAGAATCACACAAATACATTGAAACTAGGCAGACTATGTGTAAACAACGTTATTTCTATAAGTTATTGTCCATCTAAGAGTTCACAGTCTTTGGCAACACTAAGCGACTAAACTGTTGAATCTGGATATAATATAATAATACAAAGCGCACAAAAGGGGGAGACTATATTATAATATTATTATTGTGGGCATGCGGCTATCTATAAGCTACAACACATCATGTGCGGACTCTCTCCACGATTGGCTGACTATAACTACGAGTACGTGGGTGGTGGTATCTCTCTACCTAAGCTCGAGACATTGGTGCGACGCTTCTTTTTCGACTTCCTCCTGTCGTCCTCTTCCTCCTCGCCTGAGGTTGTGTCTGTCTCAGTTTCCCAGATTGGGTTGTCAGGGGCTATATACGACGTGAAGTTGGGAATAGTGAAAGCGATAACTGGATTTTGATCATCAAACTCTCACACATTGCACTCAGTTCTCAACCATGACGTATTGTAAAACCTAAAGGCAATCTCAAATCGGAGGAAATAGATTGTTGAAGAATTTTCTCTCTGCAGCAGAAAGACAGAAGAAGAAGAATATGCACATGTGCTATGACAAGAAAAAAAAGTGAAAACAGCGAGAAAGAGAGAGAAAGAGAGAGAGAGAGAGAGAGAGAGAGAGAGAGAGAGAGAGAGAGAGAGAGAGAGAGAGAGAGAGAGAGAGAGAGAAAGGGGGGGGGGGAAGAGAGAGAGGGTGTGGAGTAACATTTTTAAAAAGTAAAAAATATCTAGAGACAGAGAGACAAAGACAGAAAGAGAGACAGAGAGAGAGAGAGAGAGAGAGAGAGAGAGAGAGAGAGAGAGAGAGAGAGAGAGAGAGAGAGAGACGGAGAGATGGGGGGGGGGAGAGAGCCAGGAGGGCGAAAGGCAGGGCGGGGGATAGAGAAAGAGTGGAGGGTGGTGGAGGGGTTAGACCATGCAAACACATGAATAGGACAACAAAAGAGAACAAAAAGTTGTCATCTGAAACCACAAATACATAATATTAGTGAAGGAACATTTTTCTTTTCCTAATCTGCTTGGTGACCAACAAGAGTGAAAGGCAAAGCTGTGAAACCATTTTGTAGATCATCCAAGAAACAATCAAACAAAGTAGGAGGTAAGCTAAAAAATCTGGAAACATCTGATTCTTCTCTTCATTTGTCATTAAATAATTCTGACCTTGGATAAAGTGACAGATTCACATAAAGACAGAACAGTTTTTTTTCTCCTTCAACACAGTAATACTCCATGAAAATATTGCTTCTCCCATAAATGAGCTCTGTTGTAAAACAAAAACATTCCAATTAATATCTGATCATGTAGAGGAACAAGTTCAATATGCTTTGATGCTGACATGAGACAGAAAAAACTGTTGAGTGAGTCAAACATTAGTGAAGGCAACAGTCATCATAAACTATATACATCAGTTCGATTATTCACAAACCATGCCTTATACTTATGACCAGAATTTTTTAAAAAGTTTTCCATTTTTTACAAAAATATTCTTTCAATGGTTGAACTACTCCCACAAAATTTTAAAACATTTTTTAATAATAAGATGCCTATCTCAGTCCTCTTTAGCTGATTAGCATTTGCACTGGGCGGAACTTTGAGATCCTAAACTGCTTCTGAAAGAGTGTGATGGAAGACTTTATTACTTCTGTCCTCCGTTGGTTGACAGGAAACTTCATGGTTACATGTAACTACAAGGCAACTGAAAATCAACCCTTGTGGCTTCGTCTACACTTGTGAAAACAAATACTTGTATACTTGCCAAACGTAAAACGAACTAGCCAAACTAAAAGATAACGCATATATTATTACTCATCACACAAATGGGAACCATTACAAAGCATCACAAAAACAAATCAATACAGCGTGTTATACAAGTTATTCCAAAGGCTAAAGGTCAATGATTTACTCACCATCCATACTGGCCAAATATCCAGAACCTTCTGCGATTTCAATATACTCAAGGTACAGATCTTTCTCATCCAGCCGTTCCTTGACCGGAGGATAGCGGAAACGAGACACATCCAGAGGCAGACGTACTTCCAGCACATTGGACATGCGCTTGTCTGTGGAATCTGGAGCAGCAAACGCCGATAGGTTAAGAGAATTTTGCTGAAGCGTAAAACTGCAATAAGGACATCATTACATCTTACATCATTCACCTTTTTTTCATTGACTTATCTGTTCCTCTTCAGTTTCACAAAGTTTGATGCAAATTCAGTTTCATTGCACATCATGTCTTATTTGGCAAAGACATTTATACTAGAACAAAGCAGTTCTTGATCAAACATTTTTCTTCTCAAGAAAACAAGCATACAGCCCAAACTGACAGCTGCAATAAAAGTGTCAGTCTATAGAGTTTGTTATAAAGCCTATGAGTTTCATGAAACATCTCTACATATGTTTTTACCTCAGACAATGTGCAGAAAACAGCGATGAATGATAAAAAAATAGTCAACACACTGAACAAATTCCATTAAGATGACTTACTTGCAATCAAAGCTTGCACATATATCTTGTAGTCAGCATTGAGCTCACAGCTTCCAATTACAACTTTGCATCTGTTGGAGTCGGGATCAGGCACCAACTGAAAAGTGGCAGAAATAAATTATATCCTAGAGTAAAAAAAGCAATCCTTACAGCAAACTAGAACCCCCATGCAAGAGCTTGTATACCTGAACAATTGTAACAAACCCACACAAGGCAAAGAAAAAGAAAAACAAAAAACAAAAAATTAAAATGACACACCTGCAAAAAGTAAGACTACATTCAGTAAAATCAAATCAACATCACTTCATTCATCCAGTTAGTTTCATTCAACGAAATAGGGAATAAAAGCAAGAGAAAAAAAAAGGAGTGCAATACAATTGAGCAATTGTTTAAGACTCATTTGTTTCATAGTTGAGGTGTGTTTGCATAAGCTGATGTGTCTTGTCTTCACTGCTGTCCTTATTTGTATGTAATTAATGTATAACTGAGAAAGTTTTTTTGGGGCGATTGAACTGGCTTTTTTTTTTTACATACATTTTTAAAACTGAGAGTGAGAAGTTTTATATCCAGTAATCATAACTTAAATGTAGAGCACACGGAGTCTATACTTGTATGGGATATAGATTATAAATACAATAATAAATAAAAGGAATTTGTAGAGTGCAAGTTCATGCTCAACAGCAAGATCTATGTGCTTTACAATCTATATTATTACCCCAGCAGACCTGATGGCATTTTGAAACAAGCTCAACTTCCTAGAAAGCATACTGCTGTGCTAGCTGCCATTTCTTGTAGGCGCTAAAACATTAACAATCTATTATTGTTAATATTATCATTATTATTATCATCATCATTATTATTATTATTATCATTATTATTATTACCATTAAATCATTATCATTATTATAATAAGAATTGGCCAACCTGTTTTCCAAAAACACAATTTCTGAATACCGACCTTTGGCCCACACTGTTGATCATTGAGAAAGATGAGGTATCCGTCGATGGGAACCTCCGGTTTGTCCACAGACATCCAAACAATGGCCAGACTGTCTGTCTTGTCAGTTTTGACGAGCGAAATGATGGGACCACCATTGGCATTCTCCGTGGGACATTCAAGGTTCTGGTGGAGACAAAGCGTCAGACACGATACATGTAAAGCTTAATATAACAAGAAGTTTCATAAATAAATGGGAGTTATAATAGCTAGAACTTAAAATACATTGTGAAAAGTATATTTTAAAAAATTAATGATGAGACCACGGATCACAACTTCCTATAAAAAGACAGGTGCAAACCATGCATTCATGCTCATCTCTACCTCCTCTTCCTCTTACAGCATATATTAAAAAGTTCAATCGTCTGAATACTTTGTTAGCTGGTTAAGCCTTGTAATGTGAAATTGTTGTCAAAAGGTAGTAGAGGGGAATTAAGGTCATTTACTCAAGACAGCAAATGACTATATGCATGAGAATCTTAATCGGAGTATGTGCCTTTTAATTGTTTTCTTCCTCCGAATCTGCACATTAGCTGGAGGGTCCACAACATAAAGAATGGAATAACACACAAGCATCACAAGTATAAGTCAGACAGTATTTATTTTGGTGTATCCCCTCTGCTTATTTCTTTCTTATTGTATTTTTCTCCACTTTTATGATTGGGCTAAATGCTCCGTCTTTGAAAAGACCCATTTGTTTCTATGAGTACTCCATTACACTCAAGCCAAACCAAAATCAAAATAACCTCTTAAAAACCACTTTCTTCCTCTCTCAGACAGTCAAAGTGATATTAAAATAATTATTTAAGTTAAAAAAGCAGGTGGTCTGATGGTGTCTCTGATACTTTTCTTCACTCTTTATCCTTTGACTTTGCAGAAGCATTAAGATATCATCTGAAATGTTTGAAAAAGAGGCAAAAGAGAAAGAATCAATGGCAATCAGACTGTCCAAAGCTAGTTTTTACCTGTGCCTGGGATGGAAGCAACTGCTGTTACCACATCAGTCTTTTCAACTCGGTCTGACAGCATTGACAAAATCGACCTCAGTGCAACCCCATAGAATCACAAGATGAAAAAAAGCCTGCTATTACTATGTTAGCATTACTTAGTCTAAATGCTTCTCCTTGATGGAGACTCAAACGCAGGGTCACACAAAAATAAAAATGACATATTGAAAGTAAAAAAGGTAAGTAATATCCATGTGTAGACAGAGACTTACGAGACTGTTCGATTCCTGAACCACATTTTTCTTATCTTTGGGGTAGACCTCAACATAAATTTTGTAGGTTGTTCCTCCTGCTAGGCCTGCGATGTTGAGGCTGTTGTTGGAGGGAGGGAACATGTCGCAGTAGCTGATGCCGTTCAGGAACACTTGATACCTGGTGGTACAAAACAGTTTTAAAATTTTACAAGAGCTACCGCATTGTGCAAGAGCAAATGTCTTTTGCAATGTATTTGAAGAATATCTGTTACAAAAAGCTCCAAAAAGCAGAGAATCCTGCGATCGCTATATTACATTACAACAATACTTAACAATAGGGAATATTCAGCTTCAAAATGGCTTAACAAAGTACACTCATGTTATTTATATAATTATATACATTTACATATATGGTTTACATATTGCAGATTTTAATTTTATAGTCATTGTGCTGATTGATTTACATTTTCTGCTCTGTGATGAAGACTTATTCAGTAATACCAAATTATCATGGAAAAATGTGACTTTCATGTGAAAATTCATCAGTTTTTTCTTTCTTCTTGACTACACATTTCAAATCCTTAACATGTCCTGTATTTTCTTCTGTAATTTTTTCATTAGCCACTTTTCTATATATGTTTTTTCGTGCTAGACCACGAGAGAAAAATTTTCACATTTTACTGTTTTCACAAATGAACAAAGCCATATACTCTGCTAATCTACAACAAGATCTCTAAAAAGTAAGTGTCTTTAAATGACATACACTTTCTCCCTCACATGCTCTACATTTCAATTAATAATATATTATAAATGAAAGACTCATCTCAGCACCATGTATAACCAAAATTTGAATCAAAATGTATGGAAGAAAATATTATTTCATCCCAAACATTGTTACCAGCAGAGTAAAAAATGGTGCCCTCTGCATAGAAACTATATTGAAATCAAAATTAATTAGAAGTTATCTTGGGTACACCGAGAAAGTTTTTCATTTTTGAGTACTCACCCCTTGATCTGGCTTCTGGCAGCCTCATTGGATGGAACCTCCCAGAAGACTTCGAGGATGCCGGGTCCTGTGAAACATCCGCGGATGTGTGGGCGACAGCCCCACCAGTCCCAGGACGTTGTCTGCAGAAGGGAAAAAACCCCAAAGCAAAGCAATGAAATACAGCATGCATTGTCCAAGACAGCCACCCATTGTTGAGGAGAAAAAAGGTTGTCTTAGATAGGTGGTGAAAGTGGTATAGGTTTAACACTCCTATCAACACTATTAGGCTATAAAGGAGGCGGGACCTCCGAGTTTAACGTCCATCTACAAAACGACTGAGCCATAGGGGAAATTTCGTGTAGAGTGTTCTTTCCAAGGACAACACGTCAGACCAAGCTGACACTCGAACCCCCAAACCCTGAATCTCACAATTATGGACCCCGTAGCCTAACCATAAGGCCACCGACGCCACTTACATAGGTGGATGTCTTGGACAGAGTCATCAAAATATTTCAAAAGACGCACAGGGGGAAGTGGGAAGTGGTTGTTTGTACAGGTGGTCCACTTGGACAGGTGGCAGTTAAGAGCATAATTTGAAGGTATGCTCTCACATAAGAAAAAGAATTGTGAAGCCTCATTTTTCTTTTTCTGTTTTGTAAGTGTTTTACGGTGATCACAATGGCATAAGGTCATATGAGCGTGCGGGACACATTAAACATTTTCAGTTGGTAGGAAATTTTGAATTTTGCCAGAGTGGTGGCTGAAGCCTACTCTTGTCGATTTTGGACCACCAAGGGATCTTTAGCGCGTGCAACTTGCACACTGGACCTCAGAGATTTCTTGCTCTTGTCCAAGAAGGTTAGCTGTTGACCTTTCCTACCATAAGATCAGGAGTGTGACTGAAAGACAGCAGTAAGAAGGAGCCCAGGAGAAGCAGTAGAAAGGCCTCAGAAAGAGTCGGAAGCCCAGAGGAGGTGGCAAAGGAGGTGAGCGGGGGTGGGGGTAGAAAGTGGAGACAAAAGCAGACGACAGAACATTGCTGGAGAACAAGAAAGGAGGTGAAAGGAGACAATTTAGAGAAGAAAAATTTCCATCACTAAATGGGTTTGAACCTCGGACCTACTGAATGAGAAGCGAATACCTTAACCTCTAGGCCACGAGAGCCCCCCTCTGAAGCCTCAAAAAACAACGTTTGGCACTATGCAAAACTGACAAAGACTGATAAGTGTCTCACCTCTTTGGCTTCAACTTCCTGGGAGTTAGAGTTGTCATCCATAGAGACCTCATTGTCTCCCTCTGACAACACCCAGAAACGCCTGAAAGTGAAAAGACATTTCATTCAACATTTAATTCTCCCTGCTTTGCCTTTGATTTTTCTATATACCTTATCTGTGTTAACGAGAAGACAATCAAAATCGTTGGCTACTAAATGTTGCTGTATTTATTGTCTTCCCTAAAAGACACAAAAGTGTACATACACATGCATGCACGCATGCACATACACACACATATACATGAAAAAAACCGACTTCTTTTCTTTCAAGGACAAAACAAAATTATCTGCTATTCAAGCCCTTTCAAAGGCCCAGCAATGAAAGGTCATAATACAGCGTATCAATAGACAAAACACAAAACTACCTGGACGTGAATGGGTGGCTTTGCAGCTGTCCTGGTTTCACAGCAATCGCACGCACAAAGCACAGACCGGATTCCCTCAAGTGGATGCCTTTGTCTGTGTGGTAGTGCTGAGAACATCATGGGATAGAGGGAATGCAAATATACCACATCATTGGAGATGTATCTGTGAATCTAATCATACACATACACATACACAAACACATACATACACACACAGATACATGCACACACACACACACACACACACACACACACATACACACACATACACAAAGACACACACACACACACACAAGTATATATACATGGATATTCAGCCATAAAATGTGTGGATAGACAGATATATATGTAGTCAGATAGATACATATGAATTATGTATTTTCACCAGTAGAAAATATTAAGAAAAGATATAACAAAATATATTGCCAAATATGACAAAGGAATTGAGTTGACTGATGTGTGTGACATGTTCTGCAACCATTTCAACTTTTCAAAGACACAAATAACCTTTGCAAAAAGAAAAACGACAATATAGCTCTATTGATACAGAAAGCCATGGTACTTTCTTTATACTTGTAGTTTTATCTATTTCATGAGCATGAAACAATCTCCCTTCCAAAAAATAACTAAAAGTTGATTGATTTTATATGTCACAATCTACACAGTATCTAAGCATCTTTTAGTTGTTTTTTTAAACAAGCAACATAATGCAGATCTTTTAGAATGAAGGCAGGTTCAGCCCGGTCTGTCAGTGCCAACCTGGACTGGGATGGATACATGCTAGCTTAAACACAGAGAAACTCCATAAGATGTATTTCCAGTGAGGGAATCCAACTTTTGTCTTTTACATACCAGGCAAAGAACTTAATCGTTTCATCACAGATTCCTTTTTCACAAGCTCTGAGCTCTGATGGACAAAAATCATGTATTCTGGTAATAATAAACACTCACAGTGGAAACTACATACTTCTGCAACAACGAACTGAAAAAAAAAGCAACCATCACGAAGAAGTTACCTTTGTTGCATCATGATGTAGAGCAGGGAGAGAGCCATCAGTCGTGTAGTAAATTTCTGCCCCTGCAGTTTTGGTGGCCAGGTCAATACGAGTGTACCTCTCCATGGTACCTCCAGTTTTCTCTGACGTGATGTACGGCTCACTTGAGCGGGCAGCTGAAAACAAAAGCGTAAAGTTAGCAGGACCCAGACACAGTTGTTAGTGTTCCAAAACGTCGTCTCACATGAGCATTAAAAATTAAGGAGGGAAAAAACATGGCAACCAAATGACTTTTTTTCCCCCCCCAAAAAAATCGAAACTTTCCTTATAACATTTTTCAGTGGACATAATAAGTACCAAGGTATACGAACAGAAAACATAAAATTATCAAACCACAGAACCATTGCACAGTTCGAATAAACAACTAAAATTAAATTTCTAAATGTAGAAAGAGGAGGAAAAACCCCCATCTCTTTCAATCCAACTGCACATATAAACCAATCAATCATACTGAAATGTAAACCATTTTTTATCCCAGTCTTTCACTATTAATAAATCAATGTCTCAAGGCTACTGGAAGTTTCTTTACAGATGTGATGGGGAAACAAAGTGAACCTCCTTCATACCTTCTTCAAGAATGTGCACGACACATGAGAAGCCAGGAGCCCCCTGAGAGGCGACAGCGTAACTTCCAGGCTCATCAAAGGTGTAGAGGAAGCTGTTGTTTGCAATAAGTTTTCCACTGTTGAAGGATCGCGGGCCTTGGATGACATTCATAGGTGCCTGAAGCAGAATAAGGGTTATAGGCCAACATAAGGTCGCTTTTAAGCAGAAGGGGGCTATCCTGAAAAATGCTGTTTTGAGAAAATCGAAGGTAAAGGTTTTGCCCCTTGTTCAGTTTCTTTAAAGGACAAGGAGAGTTTTCTCTATAACTAAACAAATATACACACCAATGAAACCAAACTTCTTCTATAGGTAAGGCAATGCCCACTTTTGGTGTAGGTCACTATTTCTCACAACTCCTGAAATCTGGGTTAGCTTACTTGTCCTTAAAAGCGACCATGAGATTTCACTTCCACAACGAAAGATTTCTTGCTATAGATCTCAGTGAATGTGTTTCCTGACAAAACGATGACTAGATTTGTGATAGACAATAGTTGAAAAGTAGAATCCTCAACAACCTTAACCTTTTTGTGACTTATTTGATGTACGCTGTTCACCATTTTTTTGTTTTATACCATGAAGGAGCCAAGATGCTGCTGTAATGTTCAGTATTCGTCATGCTTTGCAAAGTGTGAGGACCATGAAGAAAAGTGCTGTTAATCGTAGGTTGTATTCTGCATATTTCTTCTATCTGATACATTTGGTAAAAACTAATTGTGAGGTGTCATGTGACAAAATAATGAATAGAAGAAATAGGCACTTTTCCACCACTTTGGCAATTTTATTGAATTTTTATTTTTTGGTACAACCCCTTTTATGTTCATATAACATTTATGTGTGAATTTTACTTTAAAACACTGATTGAAAGCACAAAATAGGTACATTTTCAGTTTTCAAAACTCTAAAGCTATGTTACCTGTCTTTGGCGACCATTTTCCTGCTAATTCTACCTTTGAAACCAAGCGACCCCATCTTCTTCAATCTCAAATATCTTAACTTCTATTCAAGATAGATGGGTAATTTTTCACTGAGATGGCAAGACAACTGAATAATCTTCAAAATGAAACCAATAACTCCAATATATGCCCAAAAATCGATGAGCGCCTGATTCCACCTTGTCGTGACACAATTGCAAATTCATTTTCAGAGACATTTTTTCAGTACAAAGAAACCTTTGTCTTTTAGAGATAGCAGTACTTACAAACCAGATCTATTTATAGGAAATTGACCGCTAGTCCCTGGGGATCCAAAACTGTGCCCGGTAAAACACCAACTGACCCTGTGTCACGACCGGGGTTAAGGCATGAGTGAAAAATTTTACCGGGGCAGAATAATCATAGAACCAAGAAACATGTAGTCTAAAAGACTTTTATAAGAGCTAAGACAGACTAGACTAAATGGACAGACAGACAGACAGACAGACAGACAAGATAGATAGATGGACAGATACACAGATGAACAGATGGATAAATGAACAGATGGACAAATGAACAGATGGATGAATAGACAAATAGATCAGCTGATAGAGAAAAATAGGTAGAACAAAAAAGAGAGAGGGAGGAGAAAGAAAAAGCCAGGAGAGAAAGATCAAAAAGAGGGTGATAAACTTATGGGGACATTATTGTAATACTCACATCACTGTCTGGGTCAGTCACGTG